CAGATGGCTCAAGCGAGGGCAGAAACTCTGCTGCCGGCGGCCTGGGCTCCGGATGTGCCGATAGCACCTCCGCTGCGCCAAGTTTCGAGCCTGATTCGGGGAGAGCGGGTGGTGGCGGCGGGGTGAGGAGGGCTCTGGACCGCCTGCGGATTCCCTCGGGCCAGCCTCGAAGCCCCCCGCCCGGGCCCTGCTCACCTCCAGAAGCGGGTGGGCTCGGACGAGGTCCCCAGCGGACTGCGGCAGCCTCACTCGCCGCCCCTCCACGAGCAGCGGCATCGCGGAGGCGGCCGCCCCGGCAGGCCCAGGGAGGCAGCGGCCTCCTCAGCCCCGGGCCGCCCGCCGCCCCTGCCCCCACCCTCGCCTTCGCCCTCGCCCTCGCCCTCTCTCTCGGGCCGCCCCGCTGCCGCGCCCAGCCGCGGGTGCCACCGGGAAGTGGAGTCCGACGGAAGCGGTGCAGCCCCAAGAGGCTGAGGAAATCTATGGGCGGGGGGGGGGGGGGGGGGGGGGGGGCGGCGGCGCATAGCCCCATGGGAAACGTAGTCCAAACGGGAGGGAGCGGCCCGCCTCCGCTAGGGGCGCTGGGAAATGTAGTTCTGAAAGCGTGGCTCACATTTCAGCCAACCTGGCCTGAGTGCGGGCTCTGGGGTCGCCGCCTGCCTAGGTTCATATCCCGGCTGTACCACTTCCCATAGTGACCTTGAGCAAGTTTTACGAGTTTCCGAACCTGCCGTTCTGCGCCATAGGATTGTATTTAATAGTAAACACAACCTGTCTTAAACTGGGAAAATGGAGCCTAAAGTTTGCTAGCTCCACACATTCAGAAATCATTAATAACACTTGGTGCTTGACATTCAGTAGGCACTCATAGATGGGCTAAGAACCCTGGGAGTAAAGATCAGCAAGATACCCTACAGACCCTACTGAGGACAGGTACCCTGGCGTGAGACTTCTCACCTTATTTGAGTTTAAAATAGTTTTAGCTTTTCTAAAACTTGGAAATATTACCCAAATAGATCCAACTCCGCATTAACCAAACTAAAAGACTGGTGGGACGAAAAAGAGGCCCCACTTCACACAGAGCAAAAACTATTAGAATGTCTACAGGATGCTGTAATAAGCACTGCCTGGCAGGTGGAGCCCTCTGGCCCTTCCCCTCCAGTTGAGATTAAGTTGGTACTAAGTAGGTAATACAGGTGAAACGGAAGTTATCTTTGCCTTGAAAAGACCTTTCCATGAAAATGCTTCCAGCTTAACTAGACTTTCTCACAAGGTAACCAAACAGCTGACTTTACGTGCATTTTCATCAAATCCTCACAACCATAAAGTAGGTATTAGTAATTTCCACTTTTATTTTCAAAGTGGAGCTCAGAGAGAGGCTAGGTAACTTGCTCAAGGTCACACAGCTGATTAGAAAGAGAAGACAGGTCTGACACCCATGACACTGGTCCTTTCACACTTGTATGAATTGGCCACTTCTCATTAAAGAAGACCTGCCCATAGCAGACAAACAAAATGATGGACCCTGGAACTCCTACCCCAGTTGAAAACCTGCTTTTGAGTAAGAGGGATAGGAAAATCCTGTTTTCATATATAATTCCCAAGGAGATTAAACAACTTTTTTTTTTGCACAGATGTTCCTTAAAAGCATGTAACTTTTTGGAAGTGTTTGTTTTCCTTAGACTCGTTGGGTGTGATCAAGGAGAGTGAGTGACACTTCAGATGCACCTGGAAGCCATTCTCATCACCAGTATGCAATTATTTTTGAGTACTTGCAATCACACTGGCATTACTTTTGCCTCTTTAATAAAGTATCAATTAAGTAAAGTCTCAGTTGCAGTTTTCTATTGCAAAACGGTGCTTTAATACAGTAGATCAATAAATATAAAATTAAAAAAACACAGGAGTCAAAAGAACATTTACATGAGAAGCTTCTTTATTGGGGTACCTCCCTTTATTGGCATAAGGACAAAAGTTCCAGATTAACCATGTCATTGTTCTATTTTCACAGTATTTTTTTCTCAAATTCCTTTGAAATTTTAGACTTATTTGTCTAAATACTTCTACATTAAAACTACTTCTCAACTCACAAAGACCCCACTAATTGTTAATTTCTACAGACACATCTTCAATTACTCATTTTATCCACTATACAAAAATCCTACCTTTTTGTCAGCAGTTAAAAAAACAGAGAACCTAAAGGCTCTCAAACAACTTTCCACCAAGTCACCAAAAGAAAATCACCAATACCCAAAACTTTTTAAAACAATAAAAATTTCTTATTTTCCAAAAACATATTTACAGACTGAAATTCAAACTCTACATTGCCATCAATGTAAATATATGAAAGCATACAAAGCCCTAGGAAAGAGAAAGTATTTCATTATAAAATATTTGTGATCAAGAAAATATCACTTGCCTTTAAATAAAGAATAGGAAAGTGGCAGAAAAATAAATATATTTAAAGGTGTCCATTTTCACAAATAACAAGTACACAAATAAGGAATGAAGCTAAAATATGCAGGAGCTTCAAAATGACTAGCAGCGCTTGCACAAATTTATCATACAGCGAGGTTGTTTAGACTCCTCTCTCAGTGTTTAGTTATAAAAATACAAAAAGAGCCTCGCCAGAGGATTTCACTGAGCTGGAATCCATGGTACGAACAGCCAGTAGACAGGGACTGTAGCTGTAACCATGACCTACTGTTGCTAGCAAAACCATTCCACCAAATAACCTAAAATCCCCTCTCTTCCCCTACTTTTGGACAAAGAAATTCTCAATGATCAATACTACATTCCACTACAAGTAGTTCCAGTTCTGACAGCACTTCTGGGAGCATCAGGGTAAAACACTGTGAGCTGTGTTTTATAAAAGTCCAACCCTACTTCAGTCAATGTGAATTACATTTACCTGGAACTCCTTTTTTCTTTTAAACCCATTTTTACACTCACAAATGTACGATGTGTCTGATTCTGTTTCTCTAAATCCTCTCTCGTCCCTCTAGGCTTTTATTAGTTTCTGAAGTCCCTGGAGATCTCCTTCAGTGCCAGCTCCAACTTGCAGCATCCAGGACCAGCCCTGGCCCCCTCCCCACACTTTGCTGCTATCTTCTCTGCACCCCACTGAAACCGCGGAACACAAATACAGTTACAGCAGAGGGGAAACAGCGTATCCAAAAGAAACTCATTCTGAAGACTTCAAAGAGTGTCCTTGAGGATTTTTCAGTGAAAAGATATCATATCAACAAAGTCCTGTAAGTATGGCTCTGACAAAAACCTCGTTAAAAACGCAATCTGTTAAAATAGGCTGTTGCTGATATTAGAAATTTCACAATAATTATTTCAAAAAGCTGTAACAAAAAAATGTATACATTAAACAAATGAGCCAAGCTTTCAACACTTATCCTCAACTCCACCGTAAAATATTGCACATGATATCCTGTCTTTTCCTTTTTTTTTTGCAGTACGCGGGCCTCTCACTGCTGTGGCCTCTCCCGCTGCGGAGCCTGTGCAGGCTCAGCGGCCATGGCTCACGGGCCTAGCCACTCCGCAGCATGTGGGATCTTCCCGGACCGGGGCATGAACCTGTGTCCCCTGCATCGGCAGGCGGACTCTCAACCACTGCGCCACCAGGGAAGCCCCTGTCTTTTCCTTTTGTCTGTACAGGAGCAAAACAGAAAAAACAAAAACAAAACAAAAAACCCAACCACGTCTGTTCAGACATTAGAGTAAGTCTAACTTGAAAGTGAGATGCCTGAAGCACGTACTCACTCTAGTTCAACGCGATGCTCAAACAGTATGAACCTTGGTACGAAGGGCACGACGGGAGGAATGTCAGTCTCAATCACAAATCGTTGTGATCATGGGGGACTGGTCTGGCAGGTATAAGACAGGTGGGGAGCCCACACTGCTTGAAGGACTGCGGAAATGCGCATCAAAGGAGCTCGGTGTAATCCCAGCTTCACCTTTCAAAAAATCATCTTCTTCATCTTCCACCACCTCCTGCACAAAGAACAGAGATTATCAACAAGATATCAAGTGGCAGTTTGAAATGCTTTCAAGAATCCCTTTCCTCAGGAATGTGCTACTTCTGGAAAGACAAAGGTGAAGGAAAAGAATCTTAATTTCGAACGCTTCCCAATGCACACTTCTTTATTATGAACCATCCGCACAACTGCTCATCACACGTTGTGTTTGTTTAAAGTCTGATTTTTTGTTTTTGAACAGATTTTAAGCTCAATGAGGGCAGGTAACATGATATGTCATTCTTGCTCAATCTAACATAATGTGAATGAATGAATGAATGACCATCCTCCTCAAATGCAAAATTTAAAGAAAGAATAAAACTAAAAAGAGCTTTCCAATGATTACTTATAAAAAAGAAGACAGGCACATTAAAGCTGACTTTTAATACAGAAATGAATGCGCCACAAAGAAACAAATGGTGACATTTTTTATTATTGGATTCTAATTTTCTCCTTTGGCAATAGCTGCCTCAGCTCCACGGCCACGCACTGGAGGACATGCTGCAGACCTGCATCTTCACCACCTATTCATGAAAACCTACAAAATTAATGTTAACTTCTGGGAACATTTCAACAGTAAGCAAATCTGAGACTGTTACGTGGTGGTAACGATCAAGTGGTAGAGATCTAAATGTGTTAAGCCGACTTTTAATTACCCTTCACTTCCCAAAGTCAGCATGTGAAGTGTCTGGTTTGAACAATTCATTAAAAAACAAACACTATTCTCGTAAGAACACAACCTGGGCTTGGAATTCTGTAAAGGCAGAATGAACAAATGTAGTATTTTTCAAGTGTAACATTGCTATTAACTATTTGACTGTGCTCTGTAACAACATAGGAGATTCCCAGAAAGTATGTTGAATCATAAATTTACCTTTTTAATGGGTTTCTTAAACTCCTGAAGCTCTTCTGCACTCATGTCTTCCCATACCTGATAAAGAGGATCAATGAATTTCTTTGACCTGTCAAGAAGATCAGGTTTCAAAATCAAATTAAATACTACAGCAAAGGTCACCACATATTTAACTCTTTTCTCACAAGACCCATTACCCAAAATGAAGAAGTAAAAACTATCGCTCAAATAATAATGGTGTCCAAAAATATCCTATGTAGGTTCTGTAACTAACGGGGCTCCTTCTTTGTAAGAGTTCATCCACTCACGTAGATGGAGTATTACACCTACTGTTTCTCAACTTTTCATTTTCAAGTGAAATTACTTCTCAACTTTGCAAAGATTAACGGTGAATTATAATATGTCCAAATGAAGGTGAAATTATATTATTCTGGAAATTCCTTTTTAATATTCCTATAGTCATTTACTAAAAATAAATCTGGGTAAAAAGACCAATCTGGTTTCAGTCAACCAAGACTTGGGGGACCAGATAATCCCAAATCATTGTGTTGTTAGTTACAAACTGTCATAAGCAGAAATCCTGCTTCCTTATATATATATACATTTGAAGTTAAGACTGGCCTGGGGGTTTTCCAGAACTACCCATCCAGATAAATCACTTGGCATTTGCTTATCCTGTGCAACAGTATGGGATGTGGTCTCTAGAAGAAGGAACAAGTCATTTGGCAGAAATTTATGACCCAAGAAAAGGCAGCATCCTCCCTATCCAGGTACCTCTATCCCCAGCCTCTTGTATTTTTAAACCAACAGGTTTCAAGAAAAGCAAAAACCTCTTGGTGTCAATCTGGGCTCCTACTGAGGGAGAGACCTGCAAGCCCTCCTGTGCCACGACCCTCAGCAGCCTTGAACAGGCTTCTCCACACTGGGCCTGGAAAACACGCAAGGAGACCACGAGACCCTATCAACGACCAGAAGGGTCACTCACCACAAAGAAACCCCAAATCCCGATCCTGGTAAAGGCACATACACACCGCATTTAAATTCACCATCGAAAGGTCGACTGTCTAAGTGTACCTACCTCTTCAGTACACAAGGATCGAAGGGGAAGAAAGTGTCAAGTGGGTTCGTGCAGGTTTGCACTGAGTCCCCCCCAGCAGTGTTTCTGATAACTGGCAGCATCTGGCGGTTGTTCCTCTCAATGAGGGTGTAGCAGAAAACAAGCTGGTATTTGCTGTGGAATAAAACCAACACAGACAGAGGCATTAATGTGCTGGAATTACTCTGCATGGACACGCCCGTTCATGTGTGACAACTACCCCGACTACATAGATCTTATTGAACATAACAGCTACAAGAAAAAAAATAACATAAAGTAGAAAGTAATGCTTTTAGGGTACAGTCCTCTGGGCCTACTATTTACAAGTTAGCTAAGGAGAAAGAATATGTGCTATCACTTTAAGAATATGAGAGTGGGCTTAGATTACTAATTAGGCACAACTCACTAAAAATTAATGCATTCACGGTAATTCTTTTAGTTTACAGAATTATGTAGCTGTATTTACTTATTTTTTACTGTTTGTACGAATTAGTGGGTTGGTGAAAAAGGGATTCAGGATTCACTGAGAGGGGATATGGGTTGTTGGTAGAGACACTTGGCTGTTGAAGATATTAAGGAGGGTACTAAGGGAGAGCCATGGGGTTTACTGAATCACGACCTCAGAAAATGGTAAAGAAAAGAAAAGCCATAGTGAGTGAAAACAGTTAAGTGGACAGAAAAACTTGCGATAAAAACCAATAGGACCAGGACTTCCCTGGTGGTGCAGTGGTTAAGAATCCACCTACCAATGCAGGGGACATGGGTTCGAGCCCTGGTCCGGGAAGACCCCACATGCCACGGAGCAACTAAGCCCGTGAGCCACAACTGCTGAAGCCCATGCGCCTAGAGCCCGTGCTCCGCAACAGGAGAAGCCGCTGCAATGACAAGCCCTCGCACTGCAGCGAAGAGTAGCCCCCACTTGCCGCAACTAGAGAAAGCCCATGCGCAGCAACGAAGACCCAGCGTAGCCAAAAATTAATTAATTAAAAAAACAACAACAACAAAGCCCAACAGGATCATATGTTGTCAAACTCCCTGGTGGTTATGACTTAGGAACTTCAAAAATCACTCACTGGGCCACTTCTTTGCGAGGAAGATTTAGCTCACCTTTGCCAATGCTCCCCCTCCCACCCTCCCTCCCACGGTACTCATTCAGGTATCTGTTCTCAGGCTCTTAGGTCACTACTGCTATTTTAAGCACCATATGTTCATTTCTGTTCCATTAGCCAAGGATCACATTTGACTCTTGGTGTTAAATGGCCAAACCACACTGGAGTACTTCGCAATATTCGGTAAAAGTGAAGATGTGCGCCTCCTACAACCCAGCAACTGCACTTCTGGGTGACAGGAAGTATGTGCCTGTGTACCAGGACACACACACAACCATGCACCCACACTGAAAAAGGAAGACAGCTTAAATCCCAACAAAGAATCAATGTTTTAAAATTATGAGAACATTACGCAGCAGTCGAAATCAAAATACAGCTATGAGTCAATATAGCAGAAGCAGTAGCTACAGAATGATACATAAATTCCTTGACACAGGTCTTTATTTCGACCTCTTGCTCTCAGCCTCACGTCTTACTCCTAACGTCCATGCTAATCCCAAACCCCAGATCTAGAGCCTCTCTGGCCAGTCTGCTCCTCAACTGCAGCCCTCTACTCCCACCCCATGAATATTCTACGGGCAGCTGCCTCTGCTTTGCTCCATCCATCCTACTCTTCCAGCTGCTTTCTATCTTCCCGCGATGTGCTGGAAACGTCCACCCACTGGACACTGTTGCTTATTGGTTTCTTATCTTAATTCTTTACTACCATTTTTGAGATCTGAGGGAGAGAGAATACCTTGAACTAGATGGCCAGCAAAGGAAAAATAAGCCTGCTAAATGAGAGCAACAAGATGTCTAAAGGGGACTGAGGGATGCAGAAATTATTCTTATCTTCTAATAGCTCAATCTGTTAAAGATTTTAAGCTATGATCCTGCCCTCAATATCAGGATAAGATACCCAAGGTCTCCAATTCACTTTCTACGTGAAGCAAAATAATTCAGTGAATGCTTATGAAGGAGCCGGCCTGCCGGCATTCAAACCTTATTAGCTCTGCCACAGTCTAGCCATGACTCCACACAAGTCATTCAATCTCTCTGTGCCCCACTTCTCGCCATTTATAAATAGGGATTAATAATACAGTCATAGGATTGTGTGAGGATTAAGTGAGTTCTATGCAGAGTGCTTATCAGACCTGTGCTGGGCACACAATAAATGCTACGCACATCAGCTGTAGCCACAAGGCCCTCAATGAACCAATTTCCTATTGTTGGATGTTTATCTCATGTCCAGTCTATTTTTATTACCATTATGAGAGTCACTCTAATAAACATCTGTGGTTTGTACCTCTCAGCTTGCTAGCTGCCTTACTTATTTCAAAGTGCCTAAGCTTCTGCTGAATTATCGTCCTCAGATTAAAAAGTAGTAGCAATTTCCAGTGCAACCAAAGTATAAAAACAACACCTTCAATGCAGTGCTTTCCACAAGTACTGGGTTTTTGGTTTTTAAATGTTTTTTGCTATTAATTTTGTTAAATAATTCCACAGAAATTTAATGGAATTTTATAATACTAACATAAATTCACTTTGAAATAACTTCCACAAATAGAGCATAAATAACTTACTTTGTGATTGCAGCAAAAAAGTTAACTACCGAGGGCAGGCAAATCTTCAGAGGATTTAGCTGACTCATCACTATCCGTTCAAAATTTAGACTTTGAAGGTACCTCAAACCTTTGATTAAAAAACAAAAGATTTTTTTAAAAGATACAAACACAATAGTCTAAGCAGCACTTATTATTTTATACAGTAAAAAAAACAAATTTAAAAGAGGTATTTGCACAAATGCTTTAAAGGTCCATGTAGACAGTCACGCAGTGTAGAGCCCAAAGAATATCACTAGGCTCAACCATATGTATTTATGACCAAACCAACTTTTCTAAAGAAAAGAGTTTATTCTTTTAAAGAGTCAGGAAGTAAACATACATTTCCAGTGGGCAACCGTACATGACAATTTGGAACTCAGATACAAGCAACCTCAGCACATGCTGAGCGTATAGAGGGAAACAAAGACTGTGTGATTTCTGCTAACAATCATGGAATCATTAAAAAGCTGAGACAACACAGTGATTCTCCATTCCTTAGAGGTAATGATTATACAATATGGAATTTCTCCTTCTTGAATTCCATATGTACACACACACACACACACACACACACAAAATCTGTCAATGTGACAGCCAACAAAACCAAGAGAGACTTACATGTCTTAAGTTATCAGTAAAGTTGAGCATGTTTTTCAAGTGTGCATTAGTTGTTTGTATTTCAGGGTTTTGTTTGTTTTGTTTACAAAAAACTATGGAGGTAGAAGGAAAAATTAGGTAGATACTACTGTCTTGGAACCGATAAATATACTTCTCTATGTTAAAAAGAAAGACACCACACTTATTCTAAGAGGCAAGCAAACCAACTTGTGCCTAAGTGTCTTTTGTTAGGAGATTCTTTGATGTATATTTTGATAAAAATTACTAAAAATGGCATAATGTAATGGCTTACAAGAAATAGGTCCTCTTTTTTTTTAATATCTTTCTTAGAGTATAATTGCTTTACAATGGTGTGTTAGTTTCTGCTTTATAACAAAGTGAATCAGTTATACATATGTTCCCATATAAAATAGGTCCTCTTTAACCAAGACGCTTACCATTTATTTATACAAAAAAAAGCAGTGATTTTACTTATCTTGTGATAAAACTTTGTCCTACTAGAGTTCATACAACTATTTTTAAGCCCCACATCTTTTTAGAAGTGGGGCTTAAAAGGAAATTCCAGTTCATATCCATCAACCCCACATCACTGACCTTCCTTCAGGTTTCCACTTAAAAGCTGCCTGTGTCTAAAAACAAAAGTGTAGAACACAGCTTGGCAGGCTGAATAAAATGGTCCGTGGAGAGCAACATCACAAAATGCCTTTGTTCCTGAATCCTGGTTAGTAAGGTATACGTGCAGCCACTTAACCAAAAGATCGAGGCATGATTTTACAGTACTAGAGAAAAGAAAAATTCAAGTCAACTTCACTTGCTTCATAAAAAACTAGAATGACATAAGAACACACAATTGCCTCTCCTTACAAACTAAGAAAAGTCTGTCCATTGGTTTCTGTATCTATCACCCATGGGCACAGAGGAGAAGCAAAGAAAGGAAGGAAAATGGTAGGCAGGTGGAAAGACAGTCTTCCGGTTACAAGCTCAAGGACATGGACCTCCTAGGAACAACAGGCAGGCCCCTAAGAATGCCTGAAGTCCCAAGAGCTGGAGAACAGTTTCTCCTCATCAACTCAGAAGGGCTTCTCCGATGGCCTCCCAGCCCTCTTGGGGGAATATGGCCAAAGAGCAGGGCATGTTTACCCACATCTTACAAGAGAAAGACAGGCCAGTTGACCTCACCATTCCCTAAGGGGTTCTGATGAAATCCCATGGTCAACAATTTAGGACAGAACAGCCAGATAGCTTTTAGCTATCAGGAAAGGGTTTTTAAATAGCATCCTTGTCCAAAGGTATCTTCATGGATAACTAGAAGAAACAGGCCCAGAGCTGGCCTCCTAAATAGATTTATTACCTTTAAAAGAATTTTTTTCTTCAGCTTTAACAGATACAATTGATTCGGAATGCAAATGAAAAATGACAAACCTATAAAAAGAATCAAAACAGTATACAACACTGTACACCATCCATGAAGACAAACGGATCTTCATATTCAAGTGCAACCATACAGAACAGATTACAAAAGCTTTTCATGTGAGGTTTTACATTTTGAAAAGGAGACATTTTATTCTGAAATTGCCTCTCAGAAATATAAACTTCTTGAATAGAGTGGGAGAACAGATTTTTTCACTTTAAAGACAAACCAAAAAAATAAGGCAGATATTTCTCTGACTTGAGACAATACTATACTTTTTAAAGGATGATATGAAAAGCACTTAGAAAATTAGGTTACTTACATAAGAGGAACAAATTTAGCTCTTGCCAAAAAGCTTCCAATATAATTTGCAGCAGCTTGCCTGATGATAGCAGGATTATTTGGATCCTGCAATTTTTTCCACAGATGTTCCAAAAATGCTTCTGCAAATCCCTATAAAAAGAGAAGGTGTTGGTCTCATCTTTTTTTAACGCTTAAGATATTCTGGTGATCAGAATCCTAAGATTTTTAACTCACCAATATGGTTAAGTTCTAGTATCTCAGTTATACTGCTAGATAAATAATGAATACGTTATTATGGTTCTTATTTTTAAAACATCTTGAGATAATACTATTAAAAACAAAAGGTGTTCCACAGCATTAAATAATTCAATGGATCCCAAAACTAGCTGAGCATCAAAATCAACCCTATAGGGGCTTCCCTGGTGGAGCAGGGGTTAAGAATCCACCTGCCAATGCAGGGGACACAGGTTCGAGCCCTGGTCCAAGAAGATCCCACATGCTGCAGAGCAACTAAGCCTGTGCGCCACAACTACTGAGCCTGAGCTCTAGAGCTCGCGAGTTACAACTACTGAGCCTGTGTGCCACAACTACTGAAGCCTGCACGCCTAGAGCCTGTACTCTGCAACAAGAGAAGCCATCGCAATCAGAAGCCCATGCACCACAACAAAGAGTAGCCCCCGCTCACTGCAACTAGAGAAAGCCCATGCCCAGCAACCAAGACCCAACACAGCCAAAAAAAAAAAAATCAACCCTACAGTTTCAGGGCTTTGGAACCCTACAAATTTGTGACAGGGCTTTGGGATCCACCAAAACTCTGTTAGCTCTGTTAGGAAATTCTCTGGTGGTCCAGTAGTTAGGATTCGGTGCTATCACTGCCAGGGCCCAGGTTCTATCCCTGGTCAGGGAGGTAAGATCCCAAAAGCTAAGTGGCGCAGCCAAAAAAAAAGCAAATAAATAAAGCTATGTAAGTGATTCTGATATTTAGCCATAATTGGAAACCAATGATTAACCACACTCACATGGGAACCCCTTCTGCAGTACCTTTCAGACTGCACATATCAAACTTAACCAGAAATAGAGACTAAAGTATAGTCGGTGGGACTTCCCTAGTGGTCCAGTGGGTAAGACCCTGAGCTCCCAATGCAGGCGGCCCGAGTTCGATCCCTGGTCAGGGAACCAGATCCCACACACATGCCCCAAATACGAGACCACATGCCGCAACTAAAGGATCCTGCATGCTGCAACGAAGACCTGGTGCAGCCAAAATAAATATTTTAAAATAAATAAATATAGTTGGCATTTGACTAATTATGCTAATTGTAGGAAAAAAACAGACCAATTTGCTTCTTTTCAACAAAGGATGCAACCTCCAACTTCTCCCAAATAGCTCTTTTCAAAACCCACTAACACATGCTTTGGGGCAGATTAAGTTTAACCTTTCTATCCATGACCAATACTCTCCTGGACTATTCTAGGAAGCTACAAAATAGTTGCAAAGAAGAGTCCTGTGTTCTTTTGTTTTGCTTTGTTCTCAAAATAGAAAAACAAAGTCTAATGTTTTTAAATCCTAGATTAAAAATTTAGTTTGGGCTAGTTAAGATCAACTGAAAGAGAATAAAGAAAATAAACAGTTAAATATCCCTTACGAGATTTTAATAAAAGCTTGAATTAAAGGGAAGGGCACCACCTAGTGGACCAAATGCAGGATGACATTTTCAGAGCACTCAGCTTAAGCTGACAGGCAGCAGCAATGCCCTCTGCTCTTTCCACGGGTTGAAAAAGGGCTTGTTATTTCATCAGGGGCACTAAGTAAAATGAGCTCAAGACAAAGAAATACCTCATGGTCTCTATTCCACACCTCCCTCCACCCCCCACTTTTTAAGGGGAAATTCTGGGAAAGAATAAAATAAACTACAATAATGTGAATGACATACTCACCAATTTAAAGCTACAGAGGTAAAACATGAAAAACTGCACATGGCAAGAGGCATGGGTGGGCAACAGGAGTTTGTCAAAGATGGTTATGAGATCTCGATATAAATCCTTTGTTTTGTTGTTATCAAGCTTACCTACGAAGAAAATTTGGCGTTTCAGTTTTATAAAGACATTATTTTCAAGCTACCAGTTTCATTTACCAAATTTGTAAAAAGCAAACACCACCATTAAGACATACATCATCTATTAAGCTACGGGGGATGGGGGGGTGGTGGGAATGCCATCTTTATTTTGTACAGAGTTCCCTTTTTAATTACAATAACCCAGCACTAGCAAGGAAGCAGGCTCTCATCTCATACACACTACTGTGATGCCACACATTGTAAAACTGCCATTTAGAAGCAGAAGCCCTCTGATCCAGTAATTCTACTGCTAGAAATTTATCACAAGCAAATAATTGACAATATATATACAAGGATGTTCATTATACTGTTATTTATAATGGCAAAAAAAGCAGGGGGAGAAAAAAAATAAGAAACCAGTTAAATCCATATAACTATTTTAGAAGAACAGTGAATGGTATGAGAAAATGTTCACAAGAGGTGAAAAGGGAAGATTATAAAATACTACATATAGTGTGATCCCCAAATTCACTGAGAAAAACACATATACCCATACAAACAGAAAAGAAAAAAAAATGCTAATAACAGTTCTCCAAATAGTAAGAATGTGGCTGTATAAACTTTGTAAATCCTTTCCTGTATTCTCCAAATTTTCTCTAATCAATATGTATTATTTTTATAACAGCAAAAAAGTTAGAGTAGTAACATATTAATTCAGATTCAAGTCCTAATAATAGGACTGAATGGCAGTCCTATTATGAGGCAAAGCCTCTAGACTAAAAATTCTGTAAGGGCAAGAAGCATATCAATTTGTTCACTACAGTACCAACACCTGGCAAAACCAAAGTACCTAGACTCTCTAAATTCAATACGGAACACCAAGTACCATGTATCAACGTCTACTATACCATTTCTTAAATGTCTTGAACTTGAGGTCCGCCTAAAACTGTCCAAACTCCATATATAAGCTTTCAATACAGTAATCGGTGAAAATATCATCAAGGGCTCTGAAGACAAACATAACTAAGCCTGAATCCCAGTCCCACTATTCTCAAGCTATGTCATGTTGGCAAGTAACAATCTCTCTAAACCTTCTCTTCCTCATACTCAAAACAGTGATTTTTTGACCGGATTTCTATCAGTACTAAAGTATGAAAAATACCCAGCACAGTGCATTGTAGGTGTTCAACAAAGCAGCGGTTACTGTGACTACTACAGGTTGTTACCATCTACATAGCAGACATCCTTAATGTAGGACAAAAGTAAAGACAGCAGGATGTCCAGGCGTTCAGCTACAGGATGGACCATCTGATCAAGCATTCCTGGATCGGCCTTTGTTTCACGGTCAGTTTCTTCATCTTCGTCCTTTGAAAGTAAAGTAAAAACTAACATGAAATGCCTCAGTAAAAGTAGTTTAGTGAGAAAATTCTGAGGTAATCGTTTCCTTTAAAAGATAAAAGAAAATACACAAAGACCTTTCCAGGCAGGGGCTCTCAACCAGAGGTGTGAGTCAGAACCACCCGTGGAATTCAAAATGAAAGCACAGATTCAGCCTCTTATTCTCATTTAGACACCCATTTACAGTGTGGCCATGCAAACATCACAGATTTCCCCCAGCTCCTGGCACCCACTGTTGGTGCCAGGTTTCCTTTCCCAGGACAGGGCGCCCATCCCTGAGCTGCTATGAGTATTGGCTGCTGACAGCTCACAGCTGCCCCCCTTCTCCAGAGAAATGCCCTTGCTGCTCCCATTCCTTCCCTATCAGGACTGACATGAGGTCACAGGAGGCCATCTCTCTGGTCTCAAGGTAGGACTAACTCTATCCTGCAACTCACGCTCCAGAGCTTCTGCGGGGGATCAGGCTGGAGCTGCTTTCCAACTGAGACCGAACTCTCACTTAGTTCCTTCCCCTGCCTTTTCCAGCTTCCTCACGCCCTTTGTCCCAAGGGCACCTGAATCCCCATCTCAGGCTTTCCTCCCGGTGAACCCAACTGAAGACACTGCCCCAGGTAGAGAAGCACTGCATTAAGGTATACAGTTTGTAAAACACAGAAGTTACATTGGTATGCTTTTCCATTTATCACTCTTTCACAAACAATATGTGGTTTACAAAAAAACAAAGAACAAACAGAAGAATAAAAATGAAACATACTTCACGAAACCCAAATTCAAAGCCTTGGAAATAAGCTCTACTAGTCAATAAGCAACAAAAAAGCAAACTACTCATTTAAAAAATCATTTTCAAGTTTGCTGAACTACTGTTTTAATTCAAAGCCTTGAAGAAGGTGAGAAGCCATTAGCTGTTTCTTCCCACCCCCTGGGACTGTGAACTGCGTATGTCTGATTTCATTAATAAATGCTGACCATATTAAAGAGCCCTTCTGTGGCATCTGTTCCACTACTAGTCTGAGTTGCTGTTTCCTCAGCATCTTCAATATCCTGCCGGGATGCATTCACCTACATTACAACAAAGAAAAAAAAAAGAATAAAAGCATTTAAAATATAACTACATTATTCAGGGACTTCAAATTCATCTGATACACATGCTTTAAAGATGTCCATATTAGCACCCTATATAGCACTGTAACTCAATAAACAATCACAATGCAAACCTATAAATGGGTCTGGGTCACGGAGAAATTTACAAGATTATAAATTAAGCTCCCTGTACTACATATGTACATAAAATTAATATGAACTGTGCTATGTTGGTCTAAAACAGATAGCTTCAACAAACTCAACGTTTATTCCAACTCTAACTATGCACAAGACACACGCATGGTGTATAAGAAGCATATCATCAATCAACTGAGGAGAAAATTATTAAATGCAATCAATTTGAATTAATGAATATTTATTTGGCTATATAACCCTTCAGATATCTCGTTTAACATACCACTCAAATCATGCCTTTTCAACTGTCTATAAATGACCTTCTTCCTAAATATACTCTAAAATGTTCCATAAGCATATATTTATGCAGTTGACCAGAGAGGTTTAACTCCAAGTGAGCAATGTGCCAGCCCACCCAACCTCCAGCCCTTCCTAGACCTCCTACAGAATCAATGCTCTTCCCATCAACTCCTATTTCCTTAGTCCACAAACCTCAAGTCTCCCCAACCCTGAAATATGTCTCTCACCCCGCCTCATCCCCCCTTTACACCACAAACCCTCACCAGGTCTCTAGCAGCCCCACTTCCTAACCATCCATGCTCTCTCCAGCAATAGACTACATCCTAAACACCAAACCCAAGGACTTTGCTTTTCTCATCCTCCTTAAAAAGCTCAGCAATAGGGGACTTCCCTGGTGGTCCAATGGTAAAGAATCCGCCTTCCAATGCAGGGGACGTGGGTTCGATCCCTGGTCAGGGAACTAAGATCCCACATGCCACGGGGCAACTGAGCCTGTGCACCACAACTAGAGAGCCTGCATTCTGCAAACTACAGAGCCCACGCACTCTGGAACTGCGCGCCACAACTATATAGAGAACACCCGTACATCCCTAGAGAGAGAAAACCCGCACACCACAACTAGAGAGAAGTCCACGCGTCGCAACAAAAGATACCGCATGCCGCAACAAAGATCCCGCATGCTGCCAACTAAGACGCGACGCAGGCAAAAATAAATAAATAAATAATGATAAATAAATAAATAAAATATTTTTTTAAAAAGTCTCATGCTGCCTACTAAAGCCTTCCTCCCTCCAGATCCTCCCTGGGTATCCAGACTCTTGATTTTCCTCTCATTTCCGATCTCACTTCCTCTCTCCTGTTGGCCTCATTCTCAGTCCCCTACCTGCAGCTACAACTGCTTGGTGAATATTCTCCATCTAGCTCCCCACCTGCACCTCAATCCATCCAAAATGGAACTCATCATCCTGCAACTTCCTCCTAACGTTTCTTATTACTGTTACCGCAACACCAAACTTTCATTCCACAGGGAGCTACCTTTGAAGGGTTCCTTTCCCTTACCTTCTACTCCCCTACTTCCAATACAGTCTCAAGGACCTTTCCTCGCCACGTCACCAGAATCCATCACTTTCTCATTCCCACTGCAGCTTATTGCAAGCCTCTTTAAAAAAAGTATAAAGAATCCCCAAATAACTTCCTTAGGTATGCATTTCCAACTTCTTCTGACTACATCAGGTTTTCTAGCTCATAACGCATGTGTTCCATTCACAGCATTTACCACAACTGTACTTTTCCATTTACGTGACTATTTAATTAATGCCTTGTTCCCCAACCATGAGAGATGGGACTGTCTATAAACATCAGCACATCAATGCTCAAAGAAATGTTCAAGAAATGTTCAAAGAAATGAATCAAAGGTGGAACTGTGGATTTTTTTCCATTGTTGCTACTACTGTTTCAAATATTATGATAACAAATACTATAACACTATTTAATAAATAAAAATCAAAGAGAAAAACAGATTACACAATACTTACGTCCAACTTGAGCAGCTTTTCAATAACAAGCTCCAGAATTTCATGTCTCAAGGTCGGAAAATACACACTAATCCTTAGTAAGTTATGAACATAACACTCCTAAAACATAAAAAGATGAACATTTCAACAGAGAATAAATGTTTCATAATTATGCAAGCAAAACATTACACAATCTTTAGTTTCAACTATTCAAACAGAAAAGACTATCAAGCAACATAGAAACAACACTGTTTATATACACAATACTAGTATAATTTAATTACCCCCAGTAAATTAAGTTTGTGATTTGTATATTTCTACAGTGTTTTTAAAGGTTTGTTGAGATATAATTCATATAAAATTCACCTATTTATAAAGTGTACAATTCAATAGTTTTTAGTATATTCACAGAGTTGTGTAACCATCACCATAATCAATTTTAGAACATTTTCATCATCCTAAAAAAAAACCTTGTATCTTCTAATAATGTACCTCCTCTCAGCCCTAGGTAACCACTGGTCTACTTTCTTTCTCTATGAATTTGCCTAGTACAGACATTCCATATAAGTGGAATCTTACAACATGTGGTGTTTTAGCATAATGTTTTCAAGGTCCATTCATGTTGCAGCAAGTAAACTATTCTTTTTTTATTGCTGAATAATATTCCAATGTATAGACATAGCACATTCTGTTTATTCATAAGCTGCTAAACATTTGGTTTCCATATTTTGGCTACTATGAATAATGCTGCCTTGAATATTCATGTAAAAGTTTTCAGGTGGACATATATTTTTACTTCTCTTGGGTATATACTTAGCAGCGGAAATGCTAGGTCATATGGCAATTCTACATTTAACCTTTTTGAGGAACTGTAAGACTGTTTTCCAAAGTAGCTGCACCATTTACCATTTTACATTCCCACCAGCAGGGTAGGGGGGTTCTGGTTTCTCCACATCCTTGCCAACATGTGCAATTATCTATCTTTTTGAGTACAGCCATCCTAGTTGGTAAGAAACAATATCTCATGGTTTTGACTTGCATTTCCCTAATGGCTAATGATGCTGAGTTTCTCATGTGCTCATTAGCCATTTGTATGATTATTTTGGAGAAACACCTATTCAGACCCTTTGTCCATTTTTAAATTGGGTTATATGACTTTTCATTATTAAGAGTTATTTATATACTCTAGATACAAGGCCTTTATCTGATACACGATTTGCAAGTATTTCCCCATTTTAAGTCGTCTTTTCATTTTCTTAAAGGTGTCCTATGAAGCACAACAGTTTTTAATTTTGATGAAATCCAATTTAACTACTTCTACGGCTGCTTGTGGTATATCTAGAAATGGTTGTCTAATCCAAGGTCACAAATATTTTCATCTATTTTCTAAGAGTTTTATCCACTTTGAGTTCAATTTTGTATATGGTGTAATAAGTCCTATTTCATTCTTTGCATGTGAACATACTCTTGTCCCAGAACTAACTGTTGAAAAGACTATTCTTTTCCCCACTGTCCTGTACAACAAGTTTTTATACATTAATCTTATATTCTGTGACTATACTGAACTCATTTATTACCTCTACTGTTTTTGTGGATTCCTTAGGATTTTTCTATATGTAAGATCATGTCATCTGCAAATAGAGATAGTTTTACTTCTTCCTTTCCCACCTGGATGCCTTTTTCTTTTTGTTGCTTAACTCACCTGGCTAGAACCTCTAGAATAATACTGACCAGAAATGGCAAAAGTGGACATCCTTGTTTTGTTCCTTATCTTAGGGGAAAGGCTTCAGTCTTTCATTATTGAGTATAAAGTTAGCTGTGAATTTTTCATAGATGCCTTTTATCAGGTTGAGAAAGTTCCCTTCTATTTTTGTCATAAAAGGGTTTTGGTGTTTTTCCATCCATTGAGATGACCATGTGGTATTTATCATTTATTCTGATACAGTATACTAATTGGTTTTGAGGTATTAAATCAACCTTGCATTCCTAGGATAAATTTCATTTGATAATGGTGCATAATTCCTTTCATATGTTGTTAGGTTCAATTTTCTAGTATTTTGTTGAGAATTTTTGCAACTATGTTCATAAGAGATACAGAATTTGTAATACTCCACTTGAAGCACACCATCACAAATAGCAGCAAAAGTTATTAACTCCTTATTTGATACCTGTAATACATTATTTAGGAAAAAATAATCTATGCTTAAAAGGGAACCACTATTGAAAGTTAGGCAGATGATCTAAATATTACACAAAAAACTTAAGACTTCATCTATAGAAGGCTCTGCCTTCATGTTTAAATAAAGCATGTTTATAATTGGTACTAAATGAACTATTATCTTCTAGTAATTCCCATCTGTGTAAGCATTAAGCCTATTTAGATATTTCTGAAATGGACTCTGCCTTTGACTTGCACGTAGGAATAAGAGAAAAGGCACTGAGAACCCTCAGTCAGTCGCTTGCTAAGAAAGGAATCTGAGTCAAATTCTTAGCCTTAAGTTTAAAATTCAGCAGACAAAACAACTTTTAAGAAAAAGACCTAAACTCAGCTAAAACTACATAACAAAAAACAACTTTTCCATTAGTTTCCCCCATGAAAAGATTTCTTACCAATGTTCTCTCTGATTTTCGAACAAACGGAAATTTTTCCACCAGTATCGGCATAAGAAACCATGGTGTTCTATTTTAAAAAGAAAAAACATGCAACCAATCCATGTTAACTGGACTTTCTTGGAAGGCTAACATTTCCATTCTAAGAGCAAATATAGATACAGGAGGCAAACAGTAACTCCTACTTCAAGCAATTGGAACTGAAAATAAATGCATGGCTTCAGAGAAAATCAGTAACAACTTGGGGAAAAATAAGCTTCTATTAAGTTTGATATCAACAGCAAATTAAAGGGGGGATCCTTTTTTCCACAAAAGTTTAATGAAGAGCTTCAGTTTAAAATCACTGCACATATATATTATTTTAAAAAATTATCAACTTGGACTTTTTAAAGTTAGCTTATTTGCTAAACTTACTGGGGGAATTTGAAGTTCACCCCTCCAAAAGAAACCTACACACCTTAAAAGATTTTCTTAGAACTGATTTTTATTCATATGGCATGGCACAAACGCAGGGGCTTCTCACTGAAAAGTTTTGGATATCGTGTCTGTTGAAGATAAAAGCAAAATTCTAACCACCATAAAAAGCTGGAGGGGAGAATTTGCATACAAGTTTTGAAAAATAGTTAAAGACAATGAATAGAGAACTGAAATGCTATTTTTTGTAGAATGTGATCTGATATCAACAGGATACAAAAAATATGCAGCATATAACTTCAGTTTTGATGCTATGAACATTTTACAATTTTCTACTAACCAATCATAATTTTCTTGAGACTTAAACACCACAATTCAAAATAAGTAACCAAAGTATACTCACGATGGGACATATCTTGCTATTATTTGTAAGGCTCTGTGACATGTGTCAAAATTTGCAGGAAGATCTACAAGGTGAAAAGGGAGAGTATGAGCATGAAGATAAAACTGAAAACTGAACAATTATCTACCTAAGTCTAAAAATGCCTGCTAACCAAAACTGAATCATGTGTCAGCAAAATAATAATTTCAAGAGTTTTCTCCATGACCGACTATCAACGAAGACTATAAATAATGCCATTAAGGGCAACTGATTGCACATTAACATTAAATATAACAAAATGATTCCATCTAAGGTTGCCTTTTGTTGCAGTCTACATATTAGATTAAGTCCTGGAGGTGCCAGGATACTTTAGCATTCAGCATGCATTCACTAAGACACAGGAGGCAGTTTTCACTTTAATCCTCCTTATACTTACTATCATCTTCGTCATCAGAATCCGAAACATCTATGTCACCTTCCTTAGTGACCACTCGGGCTTTTGAAGAAAAAAGGAAATATGTTATTCTTCTAATATTGATCTAAACAATCAACAGCTACATAAAAAAGCGATTTTTCCATTGTCCAAACTTAATACAATAAAATTTACAATGGGGGCAGGAGGTTTAAGTAGCTAAAAATCCCTGAGTTCCAAGACTTCGTCAGAAGCTCACTAAAGCAAATTACAATCCATAAAAATCATAGCAACAAATGAATCTAGACACTTCCACAGAGGTCATTATAGGGGACAGACATGTACCAGAACTGCTGCCAATAAGCATCCTGGAATCTTCCATGGTGGCATAATCTCCAAAATATAGTGGGAAGGTAACTTTTTAATAGAGATATTTAAAAAAATAAAAATCAAAACAAGCAAAGAGCAGCCACTTACGAGGTACAAAATGAGAAGCAATCATGCTGAGACATGGTCTAAGGAAGACAGTCTGTGCTGATACAAGATTACCAAGGAAAGCTAAATACTCCTCCACCACTGTCTGACTTCTATTTAACCACCGCAACCTCTAGAGGTGGGAGAGAAAGAAAGACAAAAGGAACATTTTACTGATACAATATATACTATTTTCGAAGTACTGAATTACATATAATAGTTGATGAAATAAATGGCGAACTTACCAACAGAATATTAATAAGCTGCTCAAAGTCTTTTGTCAAGTACACGATGGAGGAACGGAATTCCAGCAGCCAGTTAATGATCTGGTCATCCTTAAGTTAAACAAAGAAAAGTACGTTCAAAATCACAAATTCTCTCAAATAACAGAGAAATGATAGCTATCTGGCACTGATCATCTATCAACAATATTTAGGGACTTTCCTGGTTGTCCAGTAGTTAAGACTTTACCTTATGATGCAGGGCGTGTGGGTTCGGGTTCGATCCCTAGTCAGGGAGCTAAGATCCCACATTGCTCGTGGCCAAAAAACCAAAACATAAAACAGAAGCAACAGTGTAACAAATTCAATAAAGACTTAAAGAAAAAACCGTCCACATCAAAAAAAAAAAAAAATTTAAATTGAGGGAAAAAAATGTCACAAACTTGGACTTAGGCCAAAGTTGGGGTGAAAACTTCTTAGTTTGTATCAAAATGGAAAAAGATGTTACAATAAATTTTCCTTTTTTTTAAAGTAATATAATAACTGATATACAGGAAAAAGAATCAAATGCAATACTTAATTCTAATCACTTTTGTTTGCCCTAGAAAAGTGAGAACACCTCAAATGCTGACACCTGGGACTTCTTTAAACTAAAGAATTGTAACAGATTCAAATATTCTAAGACCACAATGACCAACAAGTACCTCTACTTCCTCTATACTCATGCTGACCTGCGAGCATGTTGACAACATTCATCTAAGCTGATTAACTAGAGTCATCAATAAATGTAACTTTTTCTTAACCCAACCTTCAAATGGGTTTAAATGAATTAAAATGTGTTCTATATAAATGATGGTTCCACTACTCCATTAAATATTTTTCAGACAATAAAATTACTATTCATAATACTTTTAGTGACATGGGAAAACCTAAATAGCAATACAAAAAAGCCATGTAGAGAATAAGATATCAGTTATATTTAATAAAGATACTGTTTGTATTCATGCATATATACAGCATACACAAGAAAAAAATTAAAGCCCCTAATTTTGGGGAATTCCCTGGTGGTCCAGTGGCTTTCACTGCTGAGGGTACGGATTCAATCCCTGGTTGGGGAACTAAGACCCCGCAAGCTGGGCAGCACAGCCAAAAAAGAAAAAAAAAAAAAGGCCCTAATTTTTTAAAGAAAATGGTTAATGCTGACTAAGACTCAGTAGGGGAAAGAGACATATGGTGTTGTACCTTTAGCAACAGACTACAAACAGACAGTGTTGAACCTGCAGTGATAAACTATTAGCAGACAGGGCTGGACCTACAGCAGCAGACTACTTATAGGGAGTGTCATTTAGTGAGAACACACCATGTGCCAGGCACGGTGCCCAACACCGTACGCATATACCTTTTCCGAATCCTAACAATGCTGCAAATGGATTACTGTTATTCCCATTTTACAGCTGAGGCAACTGAGCCTAAGAAAGATTAATAAGCAATTTGCCCAACCAAACCAGTAAAAAACTAGGTTCAAACCTGACCACCTACAGGAATAAAGACACAGACGTAGAGAATGGACTTGCGGACACGGGGAGGGGGAAAGGGTAAGCTGGGACGAAGTGAGAGAGTGGCATGGACATATATACACTATCAAATATAAAACAGATAGCTAGTGGGAAGCAGCTGTATAGCACAAGGAGATCAGCTCAGTGCTTTGTGGTCACCTAGAAAGGTGGGATAGGGAGGATGGGAGGGAGACGCAAGAGGGAGGAGATATGGGGATGTATGTATATGTATAGATGATTCACTTTGTTATAAAGCAGAAACTAACACACCATTGTAAAGCAATTATACTCCAATAGGATGTTTAAAAAAAAAAAAACCTGTCCGCCTAGATCAACGCTCTGCCCACTTTCCCACAATGCCTTGCCCCACATGAAGAAGCTCCCCACGCTTCCCCCACTGGTTCACCAGTGAGTGCTTCCTATGCATTATCTATGTGACAAACCTCAATGACACTGACTATTTACTGATGAACCCTAAGTAACCTGGTAATAAAATAAAGTAAGTCGCAACTCATTTGCACTACAGTAACTTCATAATGTCCACAGTCATTAAGGATAACAAGGCCTGAAACAGAGAAGACAAGCTAAGTTACACACAAATAAAAATAAGTTGGCTCTATCCTGTCACTTTCCCACTAAAACAAGTACAACAAAATTATAAGGACAACATTTAAACTGCTCCACTTTTTAAAGTAAACCAGTCAGAGACTTTGGTGCTTTAGTACTGAACTATTATTAGAAACAAATTATTTTAACACTCCTCTGAACTAATGTGGACACAAATGATGTGATTCTTGGTCTGTCAAAATCCCAAGGAGATGTGCTGATATAAAATACAGCCGAACACAAAGAATGTGGTTCTTCGTACCTGTGGAAGAATGCACAGGTCTTTAAAGAAAGCTCTAAAGAAGTGATGCTTCCATTGTCTTTAAACAGAGTGAGTATTCTTGGGGGCTCTATACTTTACAGAGGTAAAAGCATGTCTTCAGAAAACCAAAAGTAGTTCAGTATGGCTGGACTATATCGTGAGCAAGCAAGCCAACAGATAAATCTGGGGAGCAAAGAGGGGCCAGACAAATCAGTGAAGTCCTTGTAAGCCAAATTTACAATTAGAAAGATCTGCTGGCAGTGTAGGGTATGGACTGAATGAACAACCATGTGCTTAGACAGAACCTGAGAAAGTTCATTGGTGAAAATGATATTGCAGTTGGATCTCAAAGAGTAGGAGTTTTATAATTACAGTAATAATAATAATAAACACTAATATAAGACTAACTATGTGCAAGGCATTATTCTAAGACTTTAACGTATATTAACTCGTTTAATCCTTACAACCGCTCCATGAGATAGGTACTACCACTGGTTCCCATTTTATAGCTGGGGATACTGAGGCACTGAAATGCAGTAACTTGCCCTCAGTCACAAAGCCAGTAAGGGAGGGAGGCTATGTAACCAGAGCCCATGCTCAAATAGGTAGCAAACAAAGTAGATACAGAGGACCTCTTACAGCCAGAAAAAAAAAGGCACATGCAAAGCCCTAAAGATGAAAAGAAATGGCAAATTTAAGAAATAAAGTATCTAGTGGGACTGAACACTGAAAATTTGTTGCAGACCATGCTAAGAAGCTGGTCCTTTATTCTTCAGTGGGCATGAAGTAGGGCAATGACATGTTTAGAATGTGCTTTAGAGATGACTTAGGCTGAGACAGAGGTAAGCAATAAATCATTTAAGCACATAAAGAAAGCTGCAGACGTGGGTTTGGGAGAGAGAGAATGCTAAGTTCAGGGCACTTGTAACACCTGTGGGCTGGCAGTTAAGACATCTGTACAGCATTGTAATTCAACTATACTTCGATAAAAAATAAATTAAATTAAATAAAAATTTTAAGATTTAAAAAAAAAGAAAGAAAGAAACAGGTCTGGAGCCCACAAGAGCAATCTGAGCTATAGATGCAAATCTGGAAGTTATCAGGACACAGATAAATTTCAAAGCCATGAGGGCATAAGGAAAACACACAGGATGAATCTGTAAAGTGAGGAAAGGGTTAAGATTAGAAATCCAATCAATGCCAAATTTAAGAACCTGTCAAGAAAATGATTAGAGATAAGTGATAAGAAGACAGGAAGATCAAAGAAACCAAAGGAAAGGGGTTTTTTGTTTTGTTTTTTCATTTTATTTTTTGGCCACGCCACGCAGCATGTGGGATCTCAGTTCCCCAACCAGGGATCAAACCTGCACCCTCTGCAGTGGAAGCGCTAAGTCTTAACCACTGGACCGCCAGGGAAGTCTTGAAGGAAAGGTTTTAAGAAATGGGTAGTCAACTGTATAAACTGCTACAAGGAATTACTATGGGGCTTTAAAAAAAAAAAAAAGAAGTCCACTGAAATCAACACATAAGAAATCACTGGTAACTTCTGTCATAGTAAATACAGCAGTGGACTTAACAGTGGATTTAAACATGAATGAGAAATGAGAAATTGCAGACTGTCAACAGGAACAACAACTAACAATTACAAAGTCCTCTGAGTCAGAGGCTGTTCTAAATGCTTCTTGTATATTAACTCATTGGATCCTCTTAAAACAGCTACATTTAAAGTACTTCTCTCATTTCTCTGGTTTTACAAGAAGGAAAACAGAGGCAAAGAGGTTAAACAACATGCCCAATATCACACACTGGGAAACAATGGAGTTGGGATTTTAATGCCAGGCAATTTAACTGCCACTGCCCACAGTAATAGACTATTCTTTCCAAAACTGGGCAATAAAGGAAGAAAAGGGAAATAACATTTACTGAGTTGTTACTACATGACAGGTGTATACCTTGAACCATTTCCAAAAACACTGAAAGAGTAGTAGTTTGAAAGACAAGTCATTTTCTGTTGTTTCTTTGTTTTGTTTTGTTGTTTTAGAACTGGAGAGACATGAGAGTTGCATGCAGCATAGAAGAAAGGTTCTAAAAAGGAAAAATTAAAGCAGGGTTTCTCAACCTCAGGACTACAGGCATTTGGGACCAGATCATTCATTGCTGTGAAGGGCTGCCACGTGTATTGTAGGATGTTTAGCAGCATCCCTATCATCCACTCACTAGATGCCAGTAGCACTCTTCTCTTCTCCCAGTTGTGGCAATCAAAAATGTCTCCATGGGCTTCCCTGGTGGCGCAGTGGTTGAGAGTCCACCTGCCGAGCAGGGGACGCGGGTTCGTGCCCTGGTCCGGGAGGATCCCACGTGCCGCGGAGCGGCTGGGCCTGTGGGCCATGGCTGCTGGGCCTGCGCATCCGGAGCCTGTGCTCCACAACGGGAGAGGCCACAACAGGGAGAGGCCCCCGGACCCAAAAAAAAAAAAAAAAAAAGTCTCCAGTTCATCACCAACTTACCTCAGGGGCAAAAGTGCCCCTGGTTGAGAACCATTAAAGAAGGATCACAGAGCAAGCTCTAGAGAATGGAATAGGACCAAAAGTGCAAACCAATGTCTCTACAAAGTGGCAACAACTTTGCTAATAATCAAACACAAAATTAATTACCTTTATCTCTGGATCTGACAGCTGGTTCTTCAACAACTCAAAGTCATTTGTTTCCCCCTTAACAAGAAGGGGGGAAAAAAAATGAATTTTTCCTTGCTTGGATTTCCAGTTAAAGACCAACAGCAGGATTTTTAACTTTTACAAAAAGAACATTGTAACATACACATATCAGTTGCGGATTATAAAATCCTGACTACGAAAATTTTAAAACTCATGTTAGTGTAGCTAGGGGCCTTGGAAATAAGAAAATGACAACAGGCCATTCATATTTAGCTATACTTGTGTACTGACATTTGAATATGATAGTCAATATTCCATGATACTATCCAATCATATATATGGATATAAATGCAGGTTACATATAAAAATAGACAGTAATGCATATTTTCCCACCATTGCTGAGATACAGCAGAATCACTTCTAAACACACAAAAACAAAGCCAAAAAAAAAAAAATCCCCATTAATAGAGCTGGTTTATTGTCCCAAAGCAATGCTTTGGTAGTTCCTTAAGAAATAAAATGCGGGACTTCCCTGGTGGCGCAGTGGTTAGGCATCCGCCTGCCAATGCAGGGGACACAGGTTCAATCCCTGGTCTGGGAAGATCCCACATGCAGAGGAGCAACTAAGCCACAACATAGTTGTGCGCCACAACATAGTTGTGCGCCACAACTACTGAGCCTGCACTCTAGAGCCTGCGAGCCACAACTACTGAGCCCACGTGCCACAACTACTGAAGCTCGCGCACCTAGAGCCGTGCTCTGCAACGAGAAGCCACCACAATGAGAAGCCCACATACTGCAATGAAGAATAGCCCCCGCTCGCTGCAACTAGAGAAAACCCATGCACAGCAACAAAGACCCGACACAGTCAAAAATAAATAAATAAAATAAATAATTTTTAAAAAAAGAAATAAAATGCTTTGATCTAATGGTTTTTTATTCTACTATTTGCTAAAGATTTTAAAAGACACTAGGTAAATAAAGCACTTGAAAATGTGAAACCTCAGTAAAGGGGTTACTACTCTAATTCTGAACTGACAGCACCGTGCTGTTGTTAAATTTATTTCATTTCAATATTGATATCTAAAATCCATTTTATTTATCTACTGGTTTTTAGTATAACAGCTATAATTGTATTCTGACTAGCAAAATTCAAACCTCAATATATCAATTATATTTCAACAAAGCTGGGAAAAACCCCCACCAACCTCACATTATCACCTCTTACCTTTCTGTACTTCAGCAACACTTCTGTCACAGTTCCACCAAACCGAACAGTTTTTCTTGGGGGAGAATTGAAGAAATCATTTTCTAGTGCAAGCATATCTGAAAGCCTATAGAACCAAGATTATCAAGCCATTAAGTGCATGACAGGGAAAAATAAAAGCTATAACAGCCAATACTTATTGAACCAACATCATTCAGTGGGACTTCTGCTAAAGCCTCCTAATTGGCCTCCCTCCTTCCACTTGAGTCCCCCAGCAATCCACTCTTCATTCAGTGATCTAATGATCTTTCAAAAACTTAAGACAGATCATGCTACTCTACTCTCTTGCTTAAATTCTCTAGAGGTTTCCTACTCTTTATCGTCTTCAAGGTCCTACATTAATCTGGCCCCTGCCTACCTCTCTGACCTCACCTCTAACCACTTACCGTACTGCAGCCAGGGTCCTTTCTGTTCTTCAAACCTGCCAAGCAGATTCCCATTTTACTTATTATTCCCTCTGTCAGAAACACTCTCCAGATGTGTACATGGTTGGACCCTTGTCTTCATTCAAGTTGAAGCTCAAATGTCAGAGACCTTCCCCATCAGAAATCGAAAGTACCCATCCTCTCCCTCTCCCCTACCATCACACTGTTTTATTTCTTCACAGCAGTTACCACTATCTGAAATCATCGTTTACTTATCTACTGTCTTTCCCTCCTTAGACTGAAGGTCTGTTGAGACCAGGGACACTGTCTCTTTTGATATACTGTCCCCCATGCCTAACGCCAAAAGTAGGCACTTAAAAAATATATATTATACGGGCTTCCCTGGTGGCGCAGTGGTTGAGAGTCCGCCTGCTGATGCAGGGGACACGGGTTCGTGCCCTGGTCGGGGAAGACCCCACATACCGCGGAGCGGCTGGGCCCGTGAGCCATGGCCGCTGAGCCTGCGCGTCCGGAGCCTGTGCTCCGCGGCGGGAGAGGCCACGGCGGCGAGAGGCCCGCGTACCGGAAAAAAACAAACAAAAAAACCCTATATATATATATATATATACAAAATGAATGATATTATGCCAAGTGTTCCGCAAAGTTTGCTTCTTTTAAACAGAGCAGATTAGTGAAAAAACATAGCATCCTGCTAAGGACTCTCAAAGTTAAACCCCGAAGTGTTTCACGGGCGTTAGGGTCTTTAAAAGCTGAGCTAGATATAAACACTGTTAAACAAACGTATGTCAAAACAAATTTTAAAAAACAAACAAGCAAAACGTAAGACGCAATTTTCCGTCAGTGACAGCATTTGGCTAATAACCCAAATAGCCCAGGGACCTCTTTCCAAAGCTAGTCGAAGAAGCAGGAGGGAAGAGTAAAGGAACAGAATGCAATACCCAGGCCTGGGATGCTATAAAGGAACCAGTGGGGAGAAAGGAGGGACTATGGAACAGCGAATAGGTTCATTTTTCCATCCCCTCTCCCATTTTTATTACCCATCTAAGGGGCATGGACTCACTCTAGAGGACATGAAGTGACCCTCTTCCCTCTGCTCCCACCCCACTCCGTTAGCTCTGCCCCAGACCCTTCAGCTCCCTAATCCCGGTCCTGGGCTTTGGTCCCAGGCGCGCAGAAGGAAGCGTCCTTGGTTCTTACCCGGTCCTCGACGCGCCCAGCGTCTTGACTGCAGCTGCCGAAGCGGCGGCATCTCCAGGCAACCGCGTGTGAAGCAACGGTGCCGCCATCTGATCGGACACGCGACGACTACACCTTACGCCGGAAGTCGTGCTCCTTCTAGGACCGCCTCCATCCCGGAAAACGAGTGTGCGACCGACGGCCTTCAGCCAATCAGGAACCCCACGTGGGGAGAGCTGAGTGACCTCGGCGGGCTAGAGTGCCGCCAAGGCGGTCTCTTCGGCCCCCTGCATCAGGCCCCTCCTTCCGCTTGGAGGACTTTCTCCGCCCAGCGAGGTGCGGCGATGAGGCCACCTCCAGTATTAAAACTGGAGACGTTTGTAGGATGATTCGGTCCAGCCCTGAGGCTCCGGGAGAAAGGACGAGGACACCGGGAGGTGCTAAGCGGTGGCTGGGTATGTCGAGTATTAACTTTTTGGAGTCAAAGCCTTCCTCAATCAAACTGAAGAACCCGAAGCCCTGTGATTAATCCAAACCCGCAGAGACGTAGGTGGGTCGGGGTTTGAACAAGTCGGCTTGACCCAGGAACCCGCTTCTCCGTCCCCACTGCGCTATCCTCGCAGATTAGCTTGGGTAAGCTAATCTTACCCTCCCGGAAGCAGGTTTGACGAAGAGAGTTACCCAGAAATCTCAGAGCTGTGATGATGCTTGGATGAGAAATCAAAGAGTGAGAGAAGACAGTTTCCAAAAGGCATTAGCCCTTAAACTTAAAATTTTAAAGGAGGTACCGAGTCGGCCGACCAACAAAGCAGGGAAGGGTCTTCCAAGCCTAGGGAACAACAGGTGCCAAAGCAGGGTGGGTGGGAAGGAGGCAGAGGGAAAAAGGGAGTGTCCCTCCCCTCAGTTTCTAAGAAGGGAAAGTGTTGCAACCTTTGGAAACTGTATAGAACTATATAAAAAGGACGTAAACCAGCTACAGCAACTTGTTGAATATAAAGCACTGTTCTGTTTTTGCAACAGTGTAACTGTCCTTCTGCTGTCTCCATATGGTCTCACCATTTCTTCGTTCACTGCTTTAGAGTTCCTGCGGAATGCTGGGCAGAAATCATTCATGTCCCCCAAACAGAGGAAATTACGCCCTAGCTCACAAAGATGTTCAAGACAGCTGTTTAAGTGGGAATCTTTACCCCTCCACCCCCAGAGCTTAAAAAACAAAACAAAACAATTCTTTGCACTCTCAGCCAGTAGAAGTTTAACTCTGTACTGTCAAGCAATTTGACAATTACTTTATTCTTTCATTTTTAGAAAGTCTGATATGTAAAAAAGAATATATATTAATGTAAGTTATCAAACATAGTAAAGTGAACACCTGTGAATGTACACCCAACTTATGAAACAACCTGTATTATTGATTCTTCCTGTGTGCTCCTTCCATATCCCACCTTTTCCCTGCTTCCTCTCAAGGTAATCACTAACCTGATTTTTTAAAAATCATTTCAACTTTTCTTTATGCAATTACCATATATATTCCCAGACAATATACTGTTTATTTTCACTTGTCTTTCAATGATAAAATTACTTCCATGCTGTATTATGCTGCTGCTTCTTTTCAATCAACATTATGCTTCTAGAATCCATCCCTGTTGTATGTAATTGTGTTTTCCCTGCTTTGTAGTGTTCTATTATATGAACATACCATGATTTATAAATCCATTTTCTTATCTCCAACATTTAGATTTTTTTCTTTCCGCACTCCCTCCCACTGTTATGTACATTGCTATGAATATTCTTATAATAGTCTCCTGATTCACATGTTCAAGAATTTTTCTAGGGTTGAGTTGCTGGCTTGGGGGGTATACAAGACACAGTCAAAGAGCTTTTCATGGGAGTTTGGGATTAGCAGATGCAAACTGGTATATATAGAATGGGTAAACAACAAGGTCCTACTTTATAGCACAGGGAACTGTATTCAGTATCCTCTGATAAAACATAATGGAGGGCTTCCCTGGTGGCACAGTGGTTAAGAATCCTTTTGCCAATGCAGGGGACACAGGTTCAAGTCCTGGTTTGGGAAGATCCCACATGATGTGGAGCAGCTAAGTCCATGCGCCACAACTACTGAGCCTGCACTCTAGAGCCCCAGAGCCACAACTACTGAGCCTGCTTACCTAGAGCTAGTGCTCTGCAACAAGAGAAGCCACCGCAATGAGAAGCCCGTGCACCACAACGAAGAGTAGCCCCCGCTCGCTGCAACTAGAGAAAGCCCACGCGCAGCAACAAAAACCCAGTGCAGCCAAAAATTAATAAATTTAATAAATTTAAAAATAAATAATGGAAAAGAATATGAAAAAGAACGTATATAGGGACTTCCCTCGTGGTCCAGTGGGTAGGACTCGGCACTCCCAATGCAGGGGCCCCAGGTTTGACTCCTGGTCGGGGAACTAGATCCTGCATGCGTGCCGCATCTAAGAGTCCACATGCTGCAACTAAGAAGCCCGCATGCCGCAGCTAAAGATCCCACATGCCGCAACTAAGATCCGGCACAGCCAAAATAAATAAATAATAAATAAATATTTTTTAAAAATACTCTTTAAAAAAAGAATGTATATATATATATATATATATCAATATAACTGAGTCACTTTGCTGTACAGCAGTAACACAACGTTGTAAATCAAGTATACTTCAGTAAAAAATAAAAGAAAAAAAGAGCTTTCCAAAGTGGTTGTGCCACTACACACTGCCAGCAATACCTTGTCCTTAAGCTTGAGCACAACTCCTTCCTTATTCCCACAAAGCACAGTTAAGACAAGACTTCTAAGTTAAAATGTTTTTTCAGTGAAACCTGAGCACAATGCAAGAAAAATCCTAAAACTAGATAGTATAATCTACTATTGGAGTTCCTTGGTCATGTTTCTTCATTGGGGATCCTCTACTCACTCTGTTCCATGGGCCAACTCAGCTGGCCAGGGAAAAGCCTCCTTTATCCAATCTTGCCTTTCCCAGACTCTGATCTCTTTTTGTCTCCAACTCTAATAAAAAAAAAATAATAATAAAGACCTCTCCTTCTCCAACAACAACAAGTAAACAAGAATTAACATGCTCCTGAAAAGATGCACCTTGCTCACAAAGAAGTCATCCCTTTACATTACTGTGCATTACAGCTGTTCATAATTTTTCTGAGCTTCTTCACTCCAGAATGAAATTTTACTTTCATATACCCAGAAGACCCATTAAACTGTTTTTCAAAAGAGCAGTGTTCCCCTAGAGATGAATTTTACAGTCATCCCTAGAGTAGTTCTCTTGGTTAAAGCCTCTTGGCTTGAAAGTAACAGAAACTTTCTCAAGCTAGTTTAAGCAAAAAAGGAGAATTTGTTCTAAGGATACAGGATATCTTAAAGCACCGGAAAATAATTTTTCACTGGCCAAATTTGAGTCAGGCGCCCTCCTCTAACCCAATCTTGAGAGGTGAGGTCATGTTGTACCTTTGCTGTAGATGAAAATGTCACTATTAATGCTCCAGAAATGTTTTTCAAATCACTATATGGCAGGGATGATTCAAATGAACAATCTCTAAATAGCAAAGCCAATAATAGATATCCCATTTGTCCCTTTTCCCTTTCCAAAAACAGTCAACAATTATTTTATGTCACTTATCTTTACAAAAACGCCATTCCTTAATGCAAGATCTCAACTATATATCTTTATTACTTATTTATTTTGGCTGTGTTGGGTCTTAGTTGCAGCATGCAGGATCTTCGTTGAGGCATGAGAGATCTTTTGATGCAGAGTGTGGGCTTCTCTCTAGTTGTGGCATGTGGGGTTTCTCTTCTCTAGTTGTGGCACGGGCTCCAGGGCACATGGGCTCTGTAGTTTGCAGCAAGCGGGCTCTCTAGTTAAGGCACGTGAGCTCAGTAGTTGTGGTGCATGGGCTTAGCTGCCCCGCAGCATGTGGGATCTTAGTTCCCTGACCAGGGATCAAACCCCCATCCCTTGCATTGTAAGGTGGATTCTTTGCCACTGGACCACCAGGGAAGTCCCTGTGTATCTTTAATACATATAGTTAAGGTACATTAATTAATAATGTATATATGTTTACTAATTAAAGTATATTTGCACAGTATATGTAATTATAAATAATAAAAATACATATAAATTGTATTGCTATCTAATTATAATAGATAATTACATACAATATAACGTATTTAATACATTATTAAATAATAGTATAAATATATCCCAAGACCATTAATTTAGAGCCTTCCTTTTCCCAGAGAAGTATAAAGCAGAGTTTGTCATCCTTGGCACTATTGATATTTTGGTCCAGAGACTTTGCCTTTACAGGAGAATACATAGTGCTGTGGGGTTCTATAATGTGCATAATTTCTATCTTTAGGGAGTTCTGGGAAGTTTCCTTGAGAAAGTGATTATTGAGTTGAAATTTTAAAAGCACTAAGCGGGTATTCCCGGATGATCCAGTGGTTAAGACTTTATGCTTACACTGCAGGGAGCACGGGTTCAGTCCCCTGTTGGGGAACTAAGATCTCGCATGTGGCGGGGCCAAAAAAAAAAATCACTAAGGGTGAAGGGGTCAGGAGACTGTGAAGGGACAGCGCTTTGAAGGCAGGAAGAAAAGTGTGTGCAAGACCCCATGGCAAGAGTAGAAAATGGGATATCATTTAGGATTTCAGTCAGTTCAGGGTTGAGGTAACAGTCATTTGGAGGAGGGTGGTGGTGGGTGAGAAGAAGAGAATCCACTGAGAAAACAGCCAAAATTGGAATCCTGAAATAAATGAATAATTGTCCAGGGATCCTTTTGTAATGCAAATACTCATTCCTTTTCCTTCTTTATATTCAAATTATATTAGCCTTTTGCAAAGCAAGACACAAAGTACAGAAATCTAAGCTAAGTGGATGTTAAATTTCAGAAGAAGTAATATATTATTTAACAGCAATTCACCATGATATAATCTGATAATGGTACTGGAAAATTTTCTCCATACTAATGTTACTGAACTCAGGTTCACCTGATCATCACTCAGGAATCCAATACCGAGAGGCAAGTGTTGGGTGAAAAGGAAAGATGGCTTTATTGAGGAAGCCAGCAATCCTGGGGAGAAGGTGGAGTCATGTCCCAAAGAACCAAATCCCTACTCCCCAGGT